CATTTGTCTTAATAATTGATCATTTAAATAATTTCCTGATCATTCATTCAATTTTCAAATTATCTATTTTTTACTGACCATTTCATTTATTCTAATGACGACTAAAATGTTAGCCGAAAATATCCAACCAGAAAAAAATACGTATATTTAAAAAATAACCTCATGATTATTTTGGGCCTATTACGATGCATATTTTTTTGTGTATTAGTGTTGTACGACTATGCCAAGGACGAACGAGAGAACAAGCAAAATACAGGTAAAATTTCCAACTAAAAACAAACAGCGTATGTTTTAAAAAAATATCCTCATGATTAATTTGCGTATATTGTAATACACAGTTTGTTGTGTATTAATATGGTATAGCTGTACAAAAGAAGAATGAGAAATCAAGCAAAACACAGGCCAAATTTCGGATCGAAAAAAAATAAGGCATCTGTTTAAATTATTCTCACCATTTTTCGCGATTCGGTTGGATGCGCTAAGCAAGATGTGTTATTCAACGTGTATATAAGCAACATTATGCTTTAGTTTCAAGGATAGAATAACGTCAACACATTAAAGTGTTATTATCGTGGCGGACAGACCAGATTATCTACGAATCCAACGAGCAAATGTATGTATTTGCGAAATTTTTCTTATTTTAAAAGCTCGTTTTAGTCATCAGTATAGAGGGAATTTTTAGTCCTCAAACAGTTCCGATACAATGCATAGTATTATTTTCCTATCTCAGCACTTAACTTTCTTTTGATCAATTGAATATAGAGGAATGAAGCTCTCGGTTTCAAATAGGAGTTCGTAGCCAGGAGAACTTGAGGATTATTCAGCCATACTTAAATGCATATAAGCTTCTCTTTTTCTGAAGGAAGACTGGAGAGTATAAGAATTTTAAGTTTTATTCATTCATATATGTAAGGCAACCAAAAAAACAAAATTATAGCAGAATTGCACATATATATATATGGTTAGGCGGAGAGCGACGAGCTAATCAAGAATAGATATGTCTTCTTTTGGAATTAGTTTTAAAGGAAAAAATTTTCGCTTTTGCCGATAACCTATTTCTTCTGGAAAAAAGTCAGTTATTGATAACTGAAAAATGATCAGTTGTTCTTATTTCCTTGAATTTCAAATGTATTTGTTTTAGATTTAGCGTGAAAAACTGAATAGATGCAAGTCATTTACAGAAGGCTTCTCTACATTTCATTTTAATACTAAATCAAGAATCATCTGAAATACTATAGATTATAGTTTTGGTAGGCTTTCATATTCAATTAAATAATTACTATGGTAGGACGTAACCAACACTTCAGCTTTATTGTCGAGTGACTGGTCATTGATTTTTTGAAAGAATTTGTTGCTTTTGAAACACAAAAAATGAATGAGCAGCTTTTGAGAACTCATGTCTGATTGTCAAAAGAGCATGTTAATGTCACTATCTGAGCAAACTAGTTAAAACTAACTGAAAGTCCTCGATATGCTTCCATGTAATACGAGCCAAACCGAAACGCGATTGATCTAAAAACGTAGCATTCTCGCAGTATGAGTAAATGTCGGAATATATTTGTATTGTTATTGTAGATGTATGTTTATCGCAGTTTGAAGAGACGTTGTGTTCAGCTGCAAAAAAAGTTTCAAATATGATGGTACGAGTTCGACTGATTCAGATTTTGTCCGATAATCACTACAAAAACGTTTTCTAAATCAGGAAGTATGTTACAGATTTACAAAAATGATTTCTAACAAATTCTCTTCTCTTGTGATAAGAGATTAATACATTTAAAATAAGTTTCAAAATTGTCAAAATCTGATTTTGACTTTGCTGAACCTACTTTTCTGTAGATAGAACTTTCTACTATCTAAGCCTGTCATAATAAGGAAGATTGGTGAGCATGATAATCAAAAAAAATTGAGAAAATAATCAGATCACCATCGCTGCATATATTTTTAATGTTAGCTATAGAAAATGCAAGACGAGTTGAGAAATGACTAATGTGTTCAGCCAAATCGTTAATTTTGAAGATTGAAACATAAATGTCTAAAAATATTTTCATGTCTATTTTAGATTTGAGAAATGCTAGTTTTCATCGGAATATTGATGCTCGCTTGCTTCAATGGAGCTTCATGTGCAGGTGACAAAAGTGTAAGCGTAGAATTCTTGCGAAGATTGAAGTCATCCCCGACGGAATCCGACCGTGAAAAACAATTGGCAAACAACCCTGGATTCAATTATAAGTTTGATTTTTATAAAGCAACAGTTGGTGTGACAGAAGTCAACAATGGACGATCAGTACTTGCAAATGTAAGCATTTCACTGCTCGTGTATAAAAAATATGCAAATTTTATGGAAAAATGACATTCAAATTCGTTCAAATTCAACAATTTAATGAAAAAAAGATACTACCTTTTTGACTGTGTAAACGCGTTTAACTTCGTCAAATACTTATATTCCACATGTTTACACGGTGAAAAAGGTAACATCTTTTTTTGTTAAATTTTAAAAATTTTTATGATGTTTTTTGCGGTAATATTGTGAAAGTATATGTTCACGTGTTCGAAACTTCGAAACTACCCGATCAGACAAAGATGTCGACAATGCACCAACTTAGTGTACGAATGGAAGAAACTTCTGATATTTCAGTCTATATTGGTTTTAATCAGATTTTGCAACAAAAGAACATCAGCTTTTGCTGTTATTTTTGCATCATTTGAACTGTTTTTGATGGAGATTTTTGCCTACAACAGCTGAAATGATGCTGAAATACCAGCAAAAGCTCGTGTTTTGCTGCGAAATAGGATCAAAAGTGATATTGATTGAAACTATTTAGTAGTTTGCTTATTTGTACACTGAGTTACTGTTTTTTTTTAGATATATATCTGATCCGATAGATAAAAAAAGGAAGTCTACAATTTCCCATTAAACACCTGTTATATACCTCTTATGAACGAGGTGGGCCATGAGACGGAATAGAAAATGTCCTTCCTAATATAACAATAGTATATCTACCTGATCAGCAGAAAGTGCATTGTTCGAGTACCGTGAACGATCATCTTTTTCTCGGTTCTGTTGTCATTCGATCTCGCTCTTGTCCTGAACTGCTGTTATACTAACATCGTAATAAACGATGTTTACCACGTTAATTTTAGTAAAAACGTCGTTAGATACTATATCGCTTTTGCAAGGTTAGTAACACACCATAGACTAAACACTTTTTTTCAGTCTGGCAACTATCCTGCACTCGTCAACAGTGGTGTTTCAATGAGTTATACAAATATACCTGCATGTGCTTTACTTAATCCTCATACGCATCCGCGCGCAACGATATTAATATATGTTGCGACAGGTAAATTTCTACATGGATTTTATCTAGAAAATGGTATCGAACCCGTGCTTGAAAATGCAAAAGAAGGACAAGGGTTTGTGATTCCACAAGGAGCAGTTCATTTTTCACTAAATACGGGCTGTACTCCAGGCGTGTTGATATCAGCATTCAGCAACGAGGATCCTGGCAATTTGCCTGCCACAGCTTTTATGCAAAAGTTTCCAAGCAATATTGTTGGCGCATCATTGGGAATTAATTCCAAAAACGATGTTGAAGCACTAGTGAACTCTCTGCCCGCTATCATATCGAAGAGCTTCAAAAACTGTTTACATAAATGTGGACTGAAAACATAATCAACAACCTCAATCGAAAGACAATTATTCTAAAAAACATAAAAGCATAACTGAAGACTAATTTTATAATCAGTATTTTTCATTCATTCATTGTAGTGATCTAACTATAATTCTGCATTTTGATATAATATATGCCCTTAGCTTCTAGTTTCGTTAAACATACTAACTCATTAATAAAATGTCTAAATTTTCAATAAATAGAAACGTCTTATGTACTCCAACATGCGAACTACACGTTATCCTAAAACGCATCTAATGATCTACAGAACATAATCATTGATTCTGAGAATAATACAGAAGGTGACCTGCATAAAGTTGACCTTTGCAAGTGCCTAAACTTTAAAGAAAATTTCAAAAACAAAGTGGAAAACTGTTGTTCAGTCAAAACTGACCTAACATTTGATATCACATATATGAACAAACTCAAGAGTTATTATGAAATTAAAAACACATATTTGCCGGTGATCAAACAACCGAAAAAATTGGTATTAGAGTAAATGATAGAATGGTGCAGTTCATGTAACTGCAGGATAACTTTTTGTTTTGCCAAAATGGAGAAGGTTCTCTTCTCTTAAACTTTGAAGATTAATAGATCAAACGATACTTTAGATACCTCTATTGCAAAGGAGTCTTCTCTCATCCTACAGAAATTAAGTAATTTAAACGCAAGCGTTCTCCATTTTGCTCTCCTTCCTAGTAACACTACATGTTCTATAGACCTTCGTTTCATTATTGAAGTCATAATGAATCATCCGTCTGAGAAGAAAAAAGATCTACTCAATCTCTTAATGCTAGACAATAGAAAACCTCTTGCTTTTTCGGCACTTCATCCATCTCTTCAACTTTAGCCATCATTCGATAGAATGCAACAACTATCGCTCCAGCAACAGCAGAAAGCTAAAGAAAGCACAGGAGTAGTTACGGATGTCATGAATTTTCGAACGCAAACCGTTCGTCTCGAACACGAAGCTAGAGTTCTGGTTCGGTGAATGCCTAGTCTAGAGAGATACTGTAGGTAACATCTCCGAATATTACCGATAGTTTCGTTCTGAGAATTGGCAAAAACAGGCATTGCTGAAAATGGTATCATCAAAATGATCGATTGTTGAATTTCGGCGAAATACGTATCGATCGTTTATTTTTGAAATAATCATTTTTGATTCTAAAGATGTTTTTGTTTCTGTGTTAATCACAGATGGCGTAATTCATTTTTACTTGCTGTACTTTTTGGCATTCGAGCAATGATAATCATGATGGTATTTATGCTTAAATGGTAAAATCATCAAGAAAACCATAAGTGATACGTGGTTTATGGTTAGAAAATCTTATTATGTTTCTTTTATCAACACCAGTACAAGTAAATCTTTTCTTTATAAGTTCTTTATTTCAATTTTCCTTTATTCATAGGTGATTAATGGTCGTTATTTTTATATTCAAGCATTCAAACCATTAAAATATCATTCAGCTCATATGAATGTTTTAATTGTTATGGCAGCAATAACAGTATATGCTTATTCATGTTTTGTGGTTTTATTTAATATAATAAAAGGTCTTCCAAGTCTAGTTACATTTTTTGATGTATCACCAATCAAAGATGGACAGAACAATTAAAAAGTCGCACTGCTACCGCCACCGTCTCGCCCCGCTCCGTCTTATGTAAAAGGTTTTAAAGGTGAATTTTTCGAAAATTTTTCAAGGAGCGATGTTTAATAAAAATCGTCGCAAATGTTCATGTATTTGATTCTTTGGTTCGTTTTTAATTTGATTAAAAAAGCTCTCATAATTATCGATTGATATGACAATGAAGTTGTCCGGTGGCTGCGAAGGTACATGAAACGACGTTACAACAAGATACGGATAGGAAGAGTTGGATTTTATCGTTTAGTTCGGCATGGAATCGATCACAAAATACCAAACGCTTTATTTTAAGTTTAGCTTAGCTTTTCGTTTGTTTCTAATTTTATGCACTACTGTATAATGTTTCATGTCAGTCTACGTCCATTCATCAACATAAGATCTTTTTTACATTTATAGCACCTAAGACTATTAAAAAAAAGGATTCTGTATGAGAAAAAAAAATCAAAAAATTTGTATCATATTGCTCAGTTGAAGTGCGCCTCTAGTTGCAAGTAGATGTACTCTGTAGAAAGCGGGAGTTTACATATTCCAATGTGATGATGGTTGATCATGGCATAATACAAAAAACAATTACGATGATTCACACAAATAAAAGGATGACTTAATAGGCATCCTTCAAACCAGAATGCTCCGGTTCGAGTTTAGGGTTGGTCTTGGCTACAGTTATCTGTAGTTCCTCAATAAAACGAAATAGAAGTAAGGCCACAGAAAACATTTTAGAGTTGCTCATAGTAGATCTACATAGGCCGGTATGGCTGAATGGTTAAAATGCTCGACACATACTCACAAGGTACTGTGTTCGAACCTCGGCTCCATCAGTCATAAAATGATCTTGGACAAGTCACTAACAGCTGCTTTGTCTCGGATCACCCATCCGATAACAAACTGACTACGTGGTTGATATACACTAAAGCCCTTGTGGCTAGTATGTGGTTAGTCAGCGTGTATGGGGAGCTTAAGTGATTAAGCGGGAGAACTCTGAGTCAGGCCGGCCTTCTGTCCAGAGCTACATTTAGTAATAGATGTAGGAAACAATATCGGGCTCTCGAAACTGTTATCGAACAGCACCCTACACCGCAAGGTAGCCGAAAGGCGGGGTATTCTTCTTCTTCTTCGCCTTCTTCAGATCTACATACAATTAAGTAGATAACTCAAAATTTCAATGATTAAAGACATCTTGAAAAAAATGTATAGAAATACTCGAACTCGAGTTCGACTGATTCTAAGAAATTTCAATAACTACTTCCATAACTTAAGTAGCGCTTGATAAATCGTCTAAACAATCATCAATGTCTGGATGCGTTGGATAGTTTTCGAACCTGAATCCTAATCGGTTGATTCGAACTCTTGTTTGGATTTACTATGTGATTATTATTTTCTATCTTCGTACATATAACTTGTATAGAGTATCGTAAAAATTACGGTACCCTTTTGATTTCTTTTTAATAGAATTTTGTTCATTTTTGAAAAATAACCTAATAATAGGAACTTTTAGGAATCACAGAAATACATTTTGACAACATGGATAGGGTATCTTATGATTTTGAGATGCTGCTCCTGCATATTGCCTAAGCTTTGCTTCATATGTCTACACATAGTACCCTATTGTCGTGTATATGATCACATAAATTTACGATCGTAGTACCAAGCCATATCAACATCATAATACAATCAAATACTATGAAGCGGGTGTGGGTGTGGGTGACTGTAGGAAAAGATAAGAACAACATCCATATCCACACCCACACCCTATAATGTATATACATATTGCAGCTTGTTATGTCGCGTCAAAAATGTACGTGGTATAGCAATTCAACGATGCATGTGAGTAGGGCGTGAGTGTGAGTAACACATCTTTTCTTCACCTGCACATACGTCCTGCTCATACTGATCGTCCTAGCCTGAAACGAAAATTCTAACAAATGATTAAGATGGGAAAAAAAGCACACAAAAGTGGCTCATTTCATGTGGGCACCCGTTATCTGCATAGAGAAACCAGTGTATGAAAAAGTTTGAACTTTCTCAGTGATATTTGAAAACCTGAAAAATAAATCATGATAGAAGAAAGAACTCAGTCGTAGCTGCCTGTGGCATTTATTAGAGTCCGACATTGTTTTCTTGTAATTTCAATGACACCTGAAGAGGATACATACAGAGAATCTTGTTTATGTGAAAAATTATGTAAAACAAAAGAAGTAATCTATAAGTCATGAATAAAATATTTCGAAATGTAAACCACGCATATTTACAGAAAAGTGTATTATTAAGTCAACGAGGTCAAAGTTAGAAGATAAGTTTATGAATTTTCTGATTATTGTTCTAAAGAATGGTCTTCGGATTTTTGCTTTGTTTTCGAATTATGTCGTCAACATTGCATTGTTGTTTGTAACACTACGTCTTCGTCGTTTCGAAGCACAATCGCAATCTTCTTCCTGGGCAGCAGCGAAGAAGCTAGCACCACTCGCATGTACGCGTCCATAAAACTTTCCTGCCCACCATTGACAAGCTCGAAGTCGATCAGGATCATCATTCCAATGTGTTGTACAGGAAGACATCATATCCGAAAGAAAATTATTATCGCATTCTGATCTGAGTTTGTTGCATGTTGAATAACATCTATCATGTGCATCACAAGCAGATGTGAATTCCCAAGCACTACCTAGTGGTTGAACAATGAAGTTCCAAGGTGAACCCTGCCCTCCACAGCCATTGCTCGAGGGTGCACTCGTTTGGCTGGATTGTCTACGATAAACTCCACAATAACAAACATTGTCCTCACAAATCAAGGTGGTCAAGCATTCGATTGTATAATACCAAGCAGTTCCAGTTTCACCAGCGCAATTTGGAGATACAATTACTTGCAATCGAGTATCCGTACCGTCTAATGATATAGTAGTCACTCCACTCGCACCAACGCATCCAGTTGAGAAAACTGGTTGATTCATGTAATAAACATCGATTTTATCTTTAACAGAATAGGTACCATAAGTAAATACCACTTTCGTATTTGATTTCCCAATATTGAATGTTCTGTCATCAGGTGTATCGCCTCCAGACACACTTTGTTCGTTGCATTCTCCTTGTGTACCACTGCTTTGAATGGAAAATTCATTCAGTGTGTTTGGATCTATAGTAATGTCGCCAACAGTCGTTTGAATCTGTCTTTTCAATCTAATCGAATTGTTGGTATTCAAAGGTACTATTGATGATTCTTCTCCAGGAACGTAAGCAATGATTTCGAAATTACTAAGGTGACCAACTGAGCGAGCTTGCAATGGAACATCGGAAATATAAATGGATACTGTACGTAGAGTATCTGGAATCTTAACAGTCATTTCTTGAGCTATCAGCAAGCAAAAAGACTTAATCGAATCTGGGACTTTGGAACACATGTCGGAGATTGGATAGGCTTGCATCAATTGTATGCATGCATCGCTCTGTTGAGTAATCGTCATAAGTAGCTTCTGTGTATCAAAATAGTAGTCGATTGATGTGTCATTGGTAGGTAACGGTACATAATATCGTCCACCACCAAGATTCAACATTACAGAGCTTTTATTGCCACGATTTGCATCAAAATAATTCATTTGTAAAGTGGCATCCTTAATTAATCGACCACTAATCTTATTAGTCAATTTAATGATGATTCCGGTAAAGAAATCTGGTACAATTCCATCTGGTGGTAATTCAAATACAGGGGTCGGAAATGTGACATTAGGTATGTTGTAAGTTGCTGGTATTTGATATGAATTATTCTTTGATACAACCAACACTTCATAATGATTGTTGGTATTGTCATAGTTGAAAAGAACAGTTTCATGTAGAGATTGGATTCGAGCAATTCGACTATTGTCAATCGTGTAAATAGCATTATCTGTTTGAATGGCATACACAGATTGAACATTTCCAGAGTAGTCTTTTATACCGAAGACACTAACATCGTTCAATTTCAAAATTTGACTGTCTTTCACATCGGGAATAATTTGACTTGTTGATAAGTCTTGAATCTATACAAAATCATCATAGAAATAATATTGAAAATTGTGAAAGAAATTAAAAGAATCTTCCGTCTACTGCTTCATCGATCATATTTCGTTAGTTTATCAATACTTGTCTAGAAAAGAACTTAGGCTATTCATTTACATCTAATCTAGTTTTTTGTAATTTGTCAATAAGGTTTTTGAGCGAATACTATAGATCATCTAGTCAAAAGCAAGATTCAAAATATTTTGTATTGACTCACCGTTGTAGAAAGACTAGTAGTGGTCGTTGTCACGGTAATCGTTGAAGAGTTTCCGATAAACAAGTCACAAACTGTGAAGCAAATACAGTCATTAGAATTAACCGAGCAATGAACTGAAGTTAAGAAACAGACTTACATGTTGTTTCGTTGAATTTGATTTTTTTGAAAATGTTGTTGAGAGCGTTCGAGGTGAGGTGCTCTGCTAAAGGTTCACGATTTAATAATTCAAAAGAAATCTTCAGTTGATCAAAATCTGTAGAATTCTCTTGTACTTGATAGATAATCATAGGCTTTCCTTTCGGAACACGAGATGTGCAAAATATCTACAAAATTATGTATTTCTTTTAACTGGAAATTCGTATACAAGCGAAATACAAACTTTTATTTTATCGGCCTTTCGACGCTGGCGACTACTTCCCGTCGACTCGATACTTGCACCTTTGACATTGATGCGAAAATTTTGTAATGTCGGATCCGTATTCAACATATTTTGAAGCTATGTAGAAGCAATTTAATAGGATCTAGTCGATATTTATGAGAATAATTCGCTTACCATGAGTTGAAGAAGCTCGATTTGAGTGCTACTCAAACTTCCGTGATGTAGTACAAAAATATTCCCGCTACTATCAGTAGTGGAACTTCCTGGTAGATTGTACTTAAGCTCAAGTAATGAAGGTCGAGAATCTAAATAATATGACCAAGCGAATCAGCCTGTCTATACAATTGTTCG